GTAACACTGACACAACGAAACACTACACGACACACACGAAGCAGCGTGTGCCGGGTTACTGTAAAGAAAACACTATTGTATATAATAATATTACGGTGTGTAACTACATTAAAGCCTGTCGAGTCCCTTAGGCGCAGATTAGTAAACACTCAACACTGCGAGAGTGTCGTCCTAGTCATGATTGTCGTCGTTAGTGTACGGCCGATAAGTGCCTCTTTCCTGTCCGCCCCGATTTCCGGGAACATTCTTATTCCGGCAGGTGTTGGCATAATGTCCTTTTTGCCCACACTGACAACGAGTCAGATGTGAACTATTTATGGAGAAGCAATCTGACGCCGCCGCTTACCTTGAAACACAACACGTCATCCAAATTGCGCCGGGGAACGAATCCTGGGTTGTTTTGCCCAACAACAAAGCCACTGCCTGGTCCATTTGGCCCTGCTCCGTGTTCGTTGAAGCGCCCCCAGCCCGGCGGAGGGGGACCAAGGTCACGTTGGGAGGGCGGAGAGGGTGGTCTGTATGCTTCGGGTGGAGGGATGCCAGGTTTAGGGCTGATGCGTTTGAGTCGGTGGGTTTGTTGACAAGGGAGTTTGAACGGACTTACTGGCCCCGTTTGCATTCTGGTCCATCGGGACAAAACCCACTCAAATACAATTGGCATGCAACGCGCCTCACATGCTTTCGAGGGCAGTCCGGCCCTGAGAATCCCGGTCAATATCATGTTTCCGACTAACTCTCAATATACTTACCCAGTTTACAGAAACCCCGCTGATAGTCGGGACATTCAATTTTTCGCTCCTTTGGATGTGCGTACAGGCACTCGTCGCCCGCCGTGCATGTTCCGTGCCGGGCAAACCACCAACATTCTGGCATACGTCGTAGGTTGTACTCGTGTAAGAACTCACATGCATCCCCTTTTTTACAGAGTCCACGCAGCCAATGCTTGCACACGGTGGCAAGTCGATCACGACCTGGGTTCCCGGAAGCACCATCTTGTGAACCAAAATTTAGTGGGCTGGGTGTGGTGTGCCTCAATGGACAATGCCGTGGGCCAAGTGGGCATCCAGCAGGTGTCAAAGCAAGACGGCATATTTGCTCATCTATAAAGGAAGGTATATTATTCGTGTAATATTACTGAAAAGAATAAAGGCGCACCCGTATCCAGCTTTAGTCCAAGTTGATTTTTAATATAAAGCTCCACCGTGGAATTAACCTGGTGAAAGTCAGGGTGTACAACATCTGCGAGTGCGGGGTTTTGCGTGAGCGGGTCGGGATTTTGAGTTGCCATGGTCGTGGCAAGGTCCAAGTGAAAGCTGGGTGGCGCCTGCACTTGTATTTGTCAGCTAGGCTATTATTCCCATTGAGTGGTTTGCAGGCCTTGGGCTGTTCGAACCAACCCCTTCTGCAGTATTGCTTTGACCTCGACTGCCACCTAAATCATGAGGCGAACACGATAACGACTCCACTTCTGTGACCGGTCTAACTACGACTTCGACTGTAATTGGTCCGGTTATAAGGCGACGGCCTAAGTCGTCCAACGTCACAACGATACTTTGTCTTGTCAATATGCGTAACCATCCATTGTACGCAGCCGAGCACAAAACAAGGTTTTTGTGCCAGCCTTCACAACCAAAAACCTAATTTACACCTCTTTTTCGCTTCGGATTCGGCTTCTTCTAGTAGTACCATGAAATCTCGCACATGCTCATTGCCATAGTACAAATTTTTTGTATCTTTGTTCTTTGCTCTGGTCATCGTTCCACGTGTAACAGCGAGAGGACTTTGGTAACCTCTTTTGGGTCAAGCGTGCTTCTTCGGCTCTGCATTTGGCGCCTTTCTCAGGGTCTTTGGTCTGGACGCTGTCTATTCAAACTCATCACCCCCCCGCCGAGCGGGTCTACTGCACGTCGCATCGTCAAAGGCGCCCA